ATTTGTTAAAATATTCACAGATTTTTATTATGTAGTTATTAAATAAAAGGAGCATTACAATTGTTTCATTACTGTAATATATAATTATATAAGAAAATTTTTAATGATATCTTTTGTTTTATAAAACATTTGAACAGAAAATATACTCCTCGCTTAAGTAATTTCAAGTAATGTTCTAATACAATATTATTGGTATATTTACATTACAACATTGTGATTTTAAATTTCTTCAAGAACTTACTAAATTGGAATGATTTCTTTTTGGAACAGAGAAGTGAATAAACTTATGCGAAGTCAGTATGTCGATGAAACTATTAATACAGATCTCGTAACTTTGATTAATAAAAATCAATACAATTCAAGCAATAAAATCGTGTTATAATTTTTAATTAAGTTTATATAGAATTGCATAATTTAATGATATGTTTCGAAATAATTAAATTTATATTTATACAAAAACATAGAGTATCACAGTTACAGTACAAGATTGTTACAAATTATTTATTTGACACATTAATCGTTCTATTCGTCGTTAAAAATATAAATTTTGTGTTTAGAAATCCATTGGTTTAAAAGTTATATCTATGTAAAAATTTAGCTATAAAAATCAATTGAATGAATATTTTAATAACTTATTGAAGTATATATCACTGAACTTAAAAGTATTTTGATATCTGAATGTTAAATTGAAATGTTAAACTATATATTCTGTTTCATTTTATTATTTCTAGGAATGATTAAACAATTTTTGTCAGAAGTAGATTGGGGGGCATTGGATTACCTTATTTTGGATACCCCTCCTGGTACATCAGATGAGCATTTATCAGCAACTTCATATCTTAAACATGCTGGTATTACAGGAGTAATAATAATAACAACTCCACAACAGGTTGCTTTATTAGATGTGAGAAAAGAAATTGATTTTTGCAGAAAAGTAAATATACCAATTTTAGGTGTTATTGAAAATATGAGTATCTTTGTGTGTCCTAACTGTAATGTAAGTATGAGGAAGATGATGTTTATTTATTAGATAATATTATTATTTTTATTTTAAATTATTATTTTTATGAACATCTTTTTTTATGTAGAATTCTGTAGAAGTATTCCCAGCATTGACAGGTGGTGGTTGTGCAATGGCTAAAGAATTGAACGTAGAATTTTTGGGTTCTCTACCATTGGATCCACTTTTGGCTAAATGTTGTGACGAGGGAAAAAACTTTTTGACAGAAATTCCAGAATCACCAACTATTTTGACATTACAGACAATTGTTCAAAGTAAGTGTTCTCAAATGCAAATGAAATACTATGTATTTATATAATTAATTAAATATTTTAAATAATTTTGTAATCTATTTCAGAAATCGTTGATCGATGCGAAAAAATAAAACACTATTCTGAGATTGATACAACTTAAGAGAAAAAAGTGTAATTGTTTAGAAAAAGTGTATGTATATTAAAATTGTATAAAAAGTATAAAATATTGTTTTCTTTTATATTTTAAGAATATAAATATTATGTATTATATGAATTCAATAAACAACTCTTTCTTTTAGTATTCTATATATATGTATAGATATGATAAATATTAATATATAAGTATGACATATGTGATATGATATTTTTAAAATTTTATGATATATTTATACATAGCACAGAATAAAATATAACTTAAAAACTTTTTTAGATATTATTTCAAATTATATTTTATTAATTTTTATTAGTAATTTAATATGAGAATAAATTACTAAGAAAAATTTGGAGAATAAATTACTAATAATAATAATAATAATAAAATTTAAATGTTTGATATTACTATTTAAACACTAAAAAACTAAATCAATATAGTAGTTAATCACCAGTTGCCAATGAAAATAATTTTAGGAAGTAATGTAATTTAAAAGTTATTTTTGAAAATAATGAAGTATAAATAGTTATATACATGAAATATATATTAATAATTATATAATGTATATTAATATTAAAACACGGATACAGCTCTTTATGATAATATATTATATATATATTAAATTCGTCGTTAAAGAATACTAATTTCATTAATTTAGACTGTTGTAATATTTATCGAAATAGATTTCGGAGCCTCAACTTGGAGGATAATTTACAATCCACATGGACGATTATCGATAAAAAAAATACGTGTCAAATATTTTTTCAAAACATATTTTCACATTTTAAGCCAAATTTTATCAAAATCGGTGATTGATACTTCGATATGCTCCCTATATCTAAGATGTATATCTTTCGTCCAAGAAATTCAAATGATCAAAAAAATTTGGAGTGGGACTGAGTCTGATTTATAAATATATATTGTTGGACGATAAGAAAAGAAAGAAGAATTCTGAATTCGGGATGAGATAAAGAAAAACAAATTTTTCGAATTACTATATCTTAAATTACAACTTGTATTTCTTCTTGAACAATAATCATAGAATAATGATTTAAATCCTTAAATAAATAAAACAATGATTAAATGGGCATCATGTCAAGCCATGTAAAATAAGCTCTTGCAGATAAAATTTAATTGTTATAAAATTTCAAATATACTATATTATAATTGTTATAAAATTTTAAATATAATATATTTCTTATGTAAAATTATAGTTATTAATTTTTCAAATTTAAAAAAGAAAAACGTTTATTATAATATATGTTAAATAAAATAAAATTTAGAGATATAATAGAAAGACGTAAGTAATTAGAATAAATGAAATAAGCTATTGCGTGTCGAAATTTAAAAGATTTTATTGAAAAATGATTGACAGTTCTTAAAGAGTGAGAATTATTTTATTTTCTTATTTTCTATTTAATCTTCTGCTTGATATCCTATAATTTGAAATGCAGAATCATTTTTTTTCTAAAAATACTATTATTTTTCTTTTACTTTGTCATTGGTTTCATTTAATATAAATATATTTTTAAAGAAATAATGATCTGACATATTATTATACACATGAATTTAATCTGTTTTAAAATTAGCTAGAAGATTAAACTTGTTCGTCTCTTTAAAATATAATAATAGATCATAAATAAAAACAAACACTGTACATACTATTCGTTGTTAATAATTATTGAATTACTGATTATGTATCATTTGTTAAATGATTTTGCAATTTCGTTTTCACTTTTTATACTGAACTTTTTTCGTTTTCATTCATTATTTGTTATTACTCAGGACCTGAAATTGATTACATACTTATAAGTAACATGTTGGTATGGTAATTTGATATTGATGAAAAGTTATCAATATTTTGAACTTGATTAAAAAGAAATCGTACAATAACTTTTAAAGGGTCGTTGTAAAGGGAAGATGGACGATGGATTTAGTTAGGAAAAAAATTTTTTTAGTGTCCATAAAAAATTATGTTACAAAATTTTTGAGAAAAAAAAAAACTTTTACTTTATGTTCTTCTTCAAAATGACGTAAATGTATCTTCGAAAGAAACGAAAACAGAACTATGAAAATAGAAGTTTCCCACTTTAAAATGAGTACAAGATTGATAAGTCTACAATTTTTTTACTAAGAAATCATAATAGTTTGAAACAATTTTTTATCGGATATGAGAATATTAAGCTGAACGAGATAATTATATATATGCAGTCTTGAAGATTAAAGATTAATGATTGATGATTAATGTGTCCCTTTACAACGATCCCTTACAACTATATTAATTTCATCTAGTTAATAAGAGTTTAAAACATCGATAATTTTTAAACTATATTAATCGATAATTCTTCATTTTGAGTACGGAAAAACTTTCTGAAGTCATTATATATTTCGATATATCTACGTTAAGAAAAAAAATGTATGTGAGCATGTCTCATTTGTCTTATGAAAGAGAACATATTTGTTTTCTGATACGATTTTAAATATCACATTTCATTTTCTTCTATGAAGAAATAAATACATTGATAAATTTTTCAGTGATAAGAAGCCTTTTTTTACTAAAACTAATGTGTTTCAATGATTTTGTACGAAAGCAGCATAAAGGATGAAAAATAATCACGTTTAAACTAGAATCAATTAGAATTAACTAGAATTGTATGAAATCTTATACAATCAGAATTTAACTCTTGCTTAATTGTAATGTTTACTTTTAATTAAATATTGTATGAACCACTATAAATAACTCATAATTATAATTAATTATGTAATTATAATAATTGTAATTAATTTTATAAATAATTCTTTCTTTTCTTGCACAATAACATGTGCTAGTTTTCATTGGAAATGTCTAAATATTATTTTCTTTTTAGCAAAATGGATTATTTCTTCCATAGACGAAATGTGTTTCATACGAAAGATTGAAATGTATTTTTTTTCATAGTTAGGCGAAATATGCTATTCTTTACAAGGCAAATAAGATGCGCTTGTTTTCTTAACGCATGACGACATATTTTATATACAAAGTGTTTCTTTTATTTTTACCACCTTTATCAATTCACTAAGCATTAAAACTAATGCGATTCACATTGTATGCTTTTTAAAAATAAAAACATTTGGAATAGGCAAGAAAAGCTTCAATTTTTCTCTAAATTATCATGATTTTTTTCACAAATCAGATCACTTATCAGATCATTTAAAATTATTTAAAGATCAACATATCACATACATCTGACGTAGATTTCTATAATAATAAAAAAATATGTCGTCATTATTAAAAAATGGCAAGAAAATTCGTACAAAATGATCTTGTGAAAATAGTTGTAGTTCATAAACTACATTCTTCATTCGAAATCAAATAACTTTATCTTGACGCATTCTTTTTTTTTTTTTTGTATTGGCAACAATAACGAAGAGGTGGATAAGATAAAAGGAACATACTATGTATTTAAAAGTATTTGTGGCGCTCGATATTAGCTTTCTTACCTATAAAACTTAATAGCACTGGTAAAAATATTAGACCATGCGCAGCACCAAAAATTACGATACTCAAATACATTCGAAAGAAAAATATTTCAAAGATTTGAGTTTTCGAGAACCGTAGTACAATGATACCTATAATTTTGGTTAATGTAATACCGGCGAATACCTGAAACGAAAAAAAAAAAAAAAAAAAATGAAAAACAGTATATTAATGATATTCTTAATGATTTTGATTTTAACAAGATTCGCAGGTAAAGAATATTTAAACAAATGACATACATGTAAAACATACAGGTCTGTGTTTCCGATTCAGTGGTCACGGAAAGGGAAAAAATTTTACGCGAAAAAAAAAAGAAAGAATAAATTTTTTTTTAAAGTTTCGTTTTTGAGAAAACTGAGTTTGAAGATGTTTTAAATACACTTGAATTTAGTTAATTTTAAGCTAAAATATATGAGTTAATACTCTATTTGCGAAAGTAAGTGAAGAATGTCGAATAAAATTTTTCCATTTTCCTATTTAATTTTTCCATGTTTTTAAAAGATAGACTTTGAACATATATTAACACATATTAGTTAACAATCTGTACTATGCGTATTTAAATTTTTTCGAGAACATAGGATATGAAAAAATTGTATCTCACGCGTTTCACTTATTTTCACAGGAACATAACTTCCTGTTCTTTATTCATTTCTGACCAATTCAGTATTAGCTAAATTTAAATATATGTATTTGATTTTTTCGAAAGTGAAGTTTTAAGTGAAAAAATTTTATTCTTTCTTTTCGACTTATTTTTTTTTTTTTTATCGTAAAATCATCTTTCCATTTATACCACCGGATCGGAAACATCCTCTATATATAATATATCTATTTGTATATAGTATATCTACTTATTATATACGTACTGAACTTCCCATCTCGTTAAGAGCGTCAGACGCACGATCAAGGTTTGTACTCTTGGTGGATTTTAAATACGAATGTATAATGTGACTACAAAATTCCACGGATATACCAGCGGCCTGTAAAAAATTGAAATTTAGTCGAATTTGTTTTTTGCCATTGCTATGTTTCTCTTCAGGTTTTAATTGTACTGATGTTCCGATAAATGAAACATCGAGGATCAAAACTAGATATACATACTCATAACAAATTATATACATATATATGTGTTTACACTATATCTTGTATATTTGTCTACTGTAAGTATAATCTTAATATTCATAAGCTCTTTTAAAATTATTTTACTATATACATTATATATTAGTATACACTTACATTTATATGTAACATTATATATTATATTATATTGTATAATTTTTATATTATATTTTTATTATTATATTATATTTATATTATAACATATTTTAATTATTATATTTTATTTTAATTTTATATTATATAATATAAAATTAATATAATTATATAATATAATAAATATAATATTATAATATATTATAATATTATATTTTAATTATTATATTATAATGTATTATATTATATATTATATAACATACATGAATGAAATGAAATATTATTCATATAAATATATATGTTATATATGTGAGTATTGTACATTATACATATACATATACATATACATATGATTTGATATGATTTGTTATTAGTATGTAATTGTATGTTTTGTCTTTTTTTTTTACCATACCACTACTAAATTAACGAGAGAGACTGCGTTTAATTCGATATTCCACCAGTACATAAGGCCGCCTATATTTACGATGATCATCAATACTGTCAATGCTACTATTATTGCCGAAAATAACGATAATCCAGTTAAGATCAACGTCACTAAGAAGATGACACAAAGGGACAAACCCAATGAAAATACTGTTTCTGTCCAGATTGTGAGATACTGCTCGTAATAAACATAAAATATGCTGTAAGAAATAG